GCAATCGCAGGGCTGAGCCAGGCGTCTGTGTCTCCCATTTGGGTGGTAGGTACCCAGCTATTTGAGTCACCACCGCTGGTGTGTATAACCTGGAGGCTGGACTCATGCGTGGAGCTGGGACTCAAACCCCAGCAGTCCAGTATGGATGCAGGTGTCTCAAGCAGGAGCTTAACCACTGTGCCAACACCTGCTCCTGCTTTCTAATTCTAAAGTGATGTCCTTCAGTGGGATGGAAGGGAATCCTCTCAGGTGCTTGTCGGCCCTCACCATCCCAGAAACAAATTAGCAGACAGACAGCAGGCTCAGCCACATCTGTGGTGAGCAAAAATTTATAATCAGATCACCCGTAACATTTCCAAAATGAATTAAATCCAATATCAACTCTGAAGCAGAGTAACTCCAAAGCTAAGTGTGTTTGTTAGTAAGCCTTGATTTCTCAGCTTCCAGCCTACTCTTGAAACTGAGTCCCTATCCCCAGTGCCCCAGATGGAGACTTTGTCAGGCCTCAGTCTCTCTCCCTTGGCTTGCAGGTTCTCTGCTTCTGCTTTGATAGTTACAAGTCAACACCTTAGTAAAGACCTACTCACTAAATTAGGGCAAGGGTCAGGCCATCCTCATGAGACCCCAAAGACTCAATTCAGTCATCACCTCTATAGTTAGCATCCTATAACTAGACTCTATTTTGAGACGCTCCATGGGAATCCCAGATCCTGCAAAGTAATTACCAGTCTACCCAGTAAACCCCAGATGGACTAATGCCTGCATTGCCATTACAGCATCTTCAGAAGAACATGCTGGGCTCTTATCGCTAACCCACCAAAAGAGGGCCACATGCAAGCTTACTCTGCACTGCTCTGTGAGATTCACCACCCTCCCTGCCTAAGGAACCTTGGGAAGTGAGTGATAGCTGCCCGTCTCCTTGCTCTGCATTGTATAATAATCACTGACTTTGTTCCACCAGCTCAGTGTCGGTGATTTCCTTGCTGTGGGACAGGTGAGCAGACCCAGGTTTGGGGATCTAAATGCTTTTCTATGTCTACCTTGTCGTGCAGCCACACGAGTCCTTGGCCGGGTTAATGGAGGCTGGAGAAGACAGAGACATGCTTGTGTTACACTTCCTTGTGACAGAGACACACTTCCTTGTGTGCCTGGTCCCAGGGGAGCACTTCTCCAGCCACAGTTGGTTCCAGTGATGGCAGTGGGTTCTGATTTGCCATTTTCACAACACCCCCTTAACCAGCCTCATCAGGTCCCTTCACAGACACCAGCACCAGCTGGTCACGTTCCCTCCTCAGAGTTCTGCACCCATGATTCCGCATCTGGACCCCAGCCTCCAAGACCGAGTCCCCTATATCATCAGCAGTGCTTCCTCCAAGGACTCTCCCCAGCTGCAGAAGCCACCCCCAAGCTTCTGAGTGTGTGTTAATTCCAGTCTTTTCCCCTGTTCCCTTTGCTCCTGGGGCAGTAACTGGTTCTTGCAGTTGAAATCTTTGTGGTATTGCAATATCATTTGTTATTGGATTTTTAGTTCTCTAATAACTAGGTAAACATTCTTCATATTACTATCTCTGGAAAAATAATCAGCATGGTGTCTCTGCCAGTGACCGGATCCTGACAGATGGTGCCATCAGGCCTCTATATTCATGGGTTCTGCATCCATGGGTTCAACCAACCATGGATAGAAAACATTTGAGAAATAAATTGCATCTGCACTGAATGTGTATAGATTTTTTTGGTCATTATTCCCTAAATAATACAATATAACAACTAAATAGCATTTATGTGGTACTGGGTATTTCAGGTCATCTAGAAATTATATCAATTGTCTAGGAGGATGTGAAGGCTGGCTACAAATGTGATGTGATTTTATAGACGGACTTGAGCATCTGCTGACTTTGTTATCTTAGCAGGGGACCTGGAATCAGTCGCCTACAGATACTGCAGGACGACTGTGATTCTCAAACTCAGCAATCTGAAAACAAATAAAACCAACAACGAAATAAGTAAAAGTACAGGAAAATTTTTAAAAGAATTGTAAATAAATACCTCTGAAAAGAATTCAAAAATGTACAGCAAAAAAAAAAAAAGTTTCTGAAACAAATTCCTGCACATAGTGAGCAGGTGTTTGGTGCAGTGGTTAAATCCCTGCTTGGGGCACTCACATCCAGTGTTGGAGTGCCTGGTTGGATCCAACTCCCTGCTAAGCCAAACCAGGGAAGATGCTGTTTCAAGTATTTGAGTCTCTGCCTCACATGTGGGAGACCTGGAGGCAGTTTAGATCTTCTGGCTTCAGTATGGCCCAGCCCTGGCTGTTGGAGGTATTTGGGGGGAATGACCCAGCAAGATGAAAGATCTCTGTCTCTGTCTTTTGCCTTTCGATTAAAATGAAAAATAGCTTTTCTGAAAATAAAAGGCTCAATACTATTGTGTAGGTATGGCTTGAATGTGCTTTCCAGGGGTTCATGTGTTGAAATTTAATCCCTGCTGAGAAAGGCAAAGAACCTTCTTGGAGAGTAAAACCTTTACTCTGGTCTCCTCAGCTCTTGGTGGCCTGGGTGAGGGTTAGGACTCCTGGAGGCACCGTGGACCTTCCTCTGTTAAGTGTGTAGCAGGGTTTTCCTAATGTCTTGAAGTAAGATATAAATGCTAAGTCTTGACCCAGAGCACACACACATGCAGACACACATCTGAAGACAAGTTTATACAACAGTTGTAACTGTTTATTTGAACCCTGGGAACTTAATGAATGAGCAGATGAGAAGGCGATTAGCAAAGAATTTTATGGACACAAGTGAAGAGACAGAAATTGCTACACCTGATAGAGCAGGCAGGTGTCTCAGGGAAGCCTGAGAGCGCACTCCGCATTCAGACTGGGTCTTTATGGCCCCCTGCTTCTTCTCCCCTCCCTGCTCTTCTGGGGAAGTCTGGGTGGGGGACTTTTGGACGTGGAGTTCCCCTGAACAAACCCCTCCACACAACTCTGGCTATCAAAGTTCTTATCTACTGCAGAAGCAAATGACTCCTGCAGTCCAGTCGGGCCAGCTGCATCCCTCCCTCAATTCAGCGAAGTCCTTCTGATATAGGACAGGTGAGGACACCTTGGGCAGGGAAGACAGCCAAGAGGCTGGGTCCTGCTCTCAGGACCTGTTTCCTCATTCCACTGCACATGAATTCATTTTCTTTAAAACTTCACATTTTCTCCAACCCCTCGTTCACACGTAGACTAATACCTAGCTGCCTTAACACAATACCTGCCTTTGTGTTCTAGTTCATTGTTTTCAATGCTGATACAGACCCACCAACTTGCTAAAGTGTTACAGCCCACAGTTAGAAAAGCACCGTTTCAGCGCAGGGCAGGGGGAGAAAGAAGAGGAAGCGTAGCAGAGGGGAAGTGGGAAGAGCAAGGGTGAGAATGAAGGCAGGGGCAGAGTGGGAGGAGCGTCTTGTGGGAGATGGTGGGAGGTTTTGCAAATGCCTTTGAGGCATCTCCTATGACATAAACCACATTCCGCTCTGTGTGGCCTGAATCTGTGTTCTCTACTGGACTCGGAGCTACATGGCAACAGGGACAATATTTCCTACCTCTTTCTGTACACATTTCCAGCACAGGAAGTCTCAGAATCAGGCAATACTTGGAGAACATCCCTCCATGAAGACAGCTTCACTTTGCAGGGGGACTCAGTCAAATTGTTCACCACCAGTCAGAATTTGCTGATGCAGGGTCACAGGCATCAGTCTCTTATTTCCTTTCTAAAATTTTTTAAATTAATTTTTATTCTATTTTATTTACATATTTATTTGGGAGGTGGAGTTACATACAGAGAGAGGCAGAGACAGAGAGAGAAAATCTTCTGTCTGGTGGTTCACTCCCCAAATGACCCCTGATCTGAAGCCAGGAGCCAGGAGCTTCTAGGTCTCCCACATGGGTACTTGGGCCATCTTTTACTGCTTTCCCAGGCCATAACAGAGAACTGGATCGGAAGTGGAGCAGCCAGAACTCGAACTGGCGCCCATTTGTGTTGCTGGCACCACAGATGATTTTTAAATTTATAATATGTAAATATAAATGTTTTGGGAAATCTAGTGCTTAATATTTACAATACTGGGTTGTTGTTTTTCCTTACCAAGATTAGTGAATCTGTTAATAAGTGAACTTAGTACAGAGTTTAATCTTATACAGTCAGGGGACTGGCGCTGTGGTATAGTGGGTAAAGTCACCGCCTGCAGTGCCGGCATCCCACACAGACGCCAATTCAAGTTCCTGCAGCTCCTCTTCCAATCCAGTTCTTTGCTATGGCCTGGGAAAGCAGTAGAAGATGGCCCAAGTTTCTGGGCTCCTGCATCCATGTAGAGGACCTGGAAAAAGCTCCTGGCTCCTGGCTTCAGATCAGCCCAGCTCCAGCTGTTGCGGCCTTCTGGAGAGTGAACCAGAAGATGGAAGATATCTCTCTCTCTCTGCCTCTGCTTCTCTGTAGCTTTCAAATAAATAAGTAAATCTTTTAAGAGAGAAAATATTTGTTAAAAAATTATACAGTCAGGGACTGGTGCTGTGGCTTAACGGGTAAAGCTGCTGCCTGTAGTGCTGGCATCCCATGTGGGCACCAGTTGGAGCCCCAGATGCTCCTCTTCCGATCCAGCTCTCTGCTATGGCCTGGGAGAGCAGTAGAAGATGGCCCAAGTCCTTGGGCCCCTGCACCCGTGTGGGAGGCCTGGAAGAAGCTCCTGGTCCCTGGCTTCGGATAGGCACAGCTCTGGCCATTGCAGCCAATTGGGGAGTGAACCAGTAGTTGGAAGATCTCTCTCTCTCTCTTTCTCTCTCTGCCTCTCCTTCTCTCTGTATGTAATTCTGACTTTCAAATAAATAAATAAATCTTTAAAAAATTATAGTCAGAAAGAACTTTTTTGGTTATTGACAGCAAGTCATGACAAAATCATTTGCTGTAAATGTGGCTTTTTCGCTCCCTGTCCACTAGAAGGCAGAACGGAGCCACTCTAGAGGGTGCTAGGAAGTGTCGCTCCCCCTCTTCGTGGAGGAACGACACAGGACCCTGCGTTGTTCTTTTGTCTGCTCGGCCCTCCCCGGGTTTGCTGCTGGTTCTTCCCGGGTTGGCTACCGTCCCTTCCACCTCCGTGGAAGGGCGGTTCCCCCTGCCACTTTCCCCACTTCCGCGGGGGAGCGGCACACCGCCGGCCGGCTCTCTCGGGGGCTGCACAGGTGTTCCTTCAGATAGATGTTCCCCTTAGATGTTCCTGGTGCATGTTGTCTCTCTCCTCCTTTATAGTCCTCTTCCACCAATCCCAACTCTGCTACCCACATGCCGAGTACGCTGCTCTCCTCCAATCAGGAGCAGGTCCTACAGTTTATTGGTTGAACTGGAGGCATCTGTGTAGAAGCTGTTTCCTCCTCTCCCAGCGCCATATTGTGGGAGAGCAGATGCATAGAATAAGTCTTTTTTTTTTTTTTTTTGACAGGCAGAGTGGACAGTGAGAGAGAGAGACAGAGAGAAAGGTCTTCCTTTGCCGTTGGTTCACCCTCCAATGGCCGCCGCGGCCAGCGCACTGCGGCCGGCGCACCGCGCTGATCCGATGGCAGGAGCCAGGAGCCAGGTGCTTTTCCTGGTCTCCCATGGGGTGCAGGGCCCAAGCACCTGGGCCATCCTCCACTGCACTCCCTGGCCACAGCAGAGGGCTGGCCTGGAAGAGGGGCAACCGGGACAGAATCCGGCGCCCCGACCGGGACTAGAACCTGGTGTGCCGGCGCCGCTAGGCGGAGGATTAGCCTAGTGAGCCGCGGCGCCGGCCTAGAATAAGTCTTAATTCCAGTAACTTAGTCTAGTCCGAGTTGCTCCCAGTTGCTCCCCACAGGAAGACGAGTTTTTCTTCCAGCAGATTTAGTCAAAGTATATTTTTGGTTAAGTCCCTTCTAGACTTTTCTCTCATCTAATGGAAAGTAAAGGTAAAATTGTATATGCAAATTTCAGAGCCATTTCTAGAATGCCAACAGAGTCAGTTAGACTGGAGATTTGGAGCTCTGCTCGAAAGACTAGCACCTCGTCCATCTGAGGGCTGAATCTGGGCTGCTTCTGTTGCTTTGGAGGAACAGTGGGCCACACCACGGTGCTAACAGGAGTGAAAGGTTAATCTGGGCCAGGGCCATGCCTGGAGCACCATCTCATTTAATCCTCACAGGGAGACTCCATGGTGCTGTCTCCGTTCTGTAAAATGAAAGATTAAAAGAGCGGCCAGCACTGTGGCACAGCTGGTTAAAGCCCTAGCCTGAAACACTGGCATCGCATATGGGCACCAGTTCTAGTCCCAGCTGCTCCTCTTCCAATCCAGCTCTCTGCTATGGCCTGGGAAAGCAGTAGAAGATGGCCCAAGTCCTTGGGCCCCTGCACCCACATAGGAGACTCAAAGGAAGCTCTTGGCTTTGGATTGACACAGCTTCGGCCATTGTAGCCATCTGAGGAGTAAATCAGCAGATGGAAGACCTCTCTCTCTGTCTCTACCTCTCTCTATAACTCTTTCAAATAAACAAAATAAATCTTACTGCAGTAAGAAACAACGAAATCCAGTCATTTGCAACAAAATGGAGGAATCTGGAACACATCATGCTGAGTGAAATAAGCCAGTCCCAAAGGGACAAATACCATATGTTCTCCCTGATCGGTGACAACTGACTGAACACCAAAAAGGAAACTTGTTGAAGTGAAAGGGACACTATGGGAAACGGTGACTTGATCAGCATAGCCCTGACTGTTAATGAACAACTTAATACATTATCCCTCTTAGTAGTTTTTTTGTCTGTTCTACTTAATATGACTGATTTAATTCTGTAATTAATACACAGTTATTCTTAAGTGTTGAAATTTAACTGAAATGTGATCCCTGTTAAACATAAGAGTGGGAATAAGAGAGGGAAGAGATATATAATTTGGGACATGCTCAAGCTGACTTGCCCCAAATGGTAGAGTTAGAAACATACCAGGGGACTCCAATTTAATCCCATCAAGGTGGCATGTACCAATGCCATCTCACTAGTCCAAGTGATCAATTTCAGTTCGCAATTGATCATAATGAAAGGACTAAGAGTCAAAGGGAGCACATAAGCAAGTCTAGTACCTGCTAACACTAACCGATAGAATAAATAAAGGGGAGAGTGATCCAACATGGGAAGTGAGATACTCAGCAGACTCATAGAATGGCAGATGCCCTAAATAGCACTCTGGCCTCAGAATCAGCCCTAATGGCATTCGGATCTGGCTGAAAAGCCCATGAGAGTATTTCAGGCATGGAAAGCCAAGACACTCTGGCAAAAGATCTCTGTGAGTGAGATCTCAGTGGAAAGAACAGGTCTTCAAAGAAGGAGGTACCTTTCTCTGAAGGGAGGAGAGAACCTCCACTTTGACTATGACCTTGTCTAAACAAGATAAGAGTCGGAGAACTCAAGGGGCTTCCATAGCCTTGGAAACTCATGACTGGAGCATAGGGAGATTACTGATGCCATAGACAGGAGTGTCAATTGGTAAAGTCAACAACAGGAGTCACTGTGCACTTACTCCTCATGTAGGATCTCTGTCCTTAATGTGCTGTGCATTGAGATTTAATGCTATAACGAGTACTCAAATAATATATTTCACTTTGTGTTTCTATGGGGGTGCAAACTGTTGAAATCTTTACTTAATGCATACTAAACTGATCCTCTGTAAAAAAAAAAAAAAAAAGAAACTATCAACTCCCAACTTGACTCTCACTGGGATTAAACATGACAATAGGTCTGATCTGATTTCATCATCATTAAAAAAAATCATCTATTATTTTTCACTTTATGTTTCTGTGTGGGAGCAAACTGTTGAAATCCTTACTTAATGTATACTAAGCTGATCTTCTGTATATTAAGATAATCGAAAATGAATCTTGATGTGAATGGAAGGGGAGAGGGAGTGGGAAAGGGGAGGGTTGTGGGTGGGAGGGACGGTATGGGGGGGAAGCCATAGTAATCCATTATTCGTACTTTGGAAACGTATATTCATTAAATAAAAGTTAAAAAAAAAATAAAAAAAAAATCAAGAGGAGCAGGCCTTCGACCCAGTGATTAAGCTGCCTCTCACATCAGAGTACTGGATTTGAGTTCCAGCTCTGGCTCCTGATGCCAACTTCCTGCTACGGCAGACCCTGCAAGGTGGCAGTGATGGCTCACGTAGTTGAGCTGTTGCCACCCATGTGGCAGATCTGTATTGTATTTCTGGTTCCCACCCTTGGCCCTGGCTCAGCCGCAGATGTTGCAGGCATTTGGAGAGTGAACCAGTAATGGGAGCTCTGTCTGTCTCTGCCTCTCAAATAAATATTTAAAAACAAAACAAGGGGCTGGTGCTGTGGTAAAGAGGGTTAACACCCCGGCCTGAAGCACTGGCATACCATATGGGCGCCAGTTCGACACCTGGCCACTCCACTTCCAATCCAGCTCTCTGCTATGGCCTGGAAAAGCTGGAAAAGCAGCATCAGATGGCTCAATTCCTTGGGCCCCTGCACCCATGTGGGAGACCTGGAAGAAGCTCCTGGCTCCTGGCCTTGGATCAGCTCAATTTCAGCCATTGTGGCCATTTGGGGAGTGAACCAGCAGATGGAAGATATCTCTCTCTCTCTCTAACTCTGCCTTTCAAATAAATGGAAAAAATAATTTAAAAAAGTATTTAAAAATAAAAATACTATTATTATTTGAAAGACAGAGAAAGAGAAACAGAGAGACCTTCCATCCACTGGTTCACTCCCCAAATGCCCACAACAGACAGGGTTGGGCTTGGCAAAAGCCAGGAGCCTGGAACTCAATCGGGATCTCCCTAGTGGGCGGCAGGGGCCCAAATACTAGAGCCATAACCTGCTGCTTCCAGGGTGCACACTAGCAAAAAGCTGGAATTGGAAGAGAGCTGGAATTTTTTTTTTTAAGGTTTATTTATTTATTTGAAAGTCAGAGTTACACAGAGAGGGGAGAGGTAGGGAGAGAGAGGTCTTCCATCCGATGGTTTACTCCCCAATTGGCTACAACAGCCGGAGCTGCGCTGATCTGAAGCCAGGAGCCTGGAGCCTCTTCCAGGTCTCCCACACTAGTGCAGAGGCCCAAGGACTTGGGCCATCAACCTCTGCTTTCCCAGGCCAAAGCAGAGAGCTAAATCGGAAGTGGAGCAGCTGAGTCTCGAACCGGCGCCCATATGGGATGCCAGCGTTTCAGGCCAGGGCGTTAACCCGCTGCACCACAGCGCTGGCCCCAGGAGAGCTGGAATTCTGAACCCAGGCATCCATATGGGATGCAGAAGTCCCAAGCAGATTCTTACTGCTGCACCAAACACCCGGGCCTCCACAAACTTTTTGAAGTACCTTGTATGTTCTCACACTCCGCTACTTCCTCTGCCTAACACAGATCACATTGCAGAGGGGATCTTCAAGTCTGTTCCTTGTTGTATTACAGCAGCTAGCACAGTTTGTGGGAATCCCTTAAATACTTGTTGCAAGGCAAATGAATAAATGTGAATTTGACCACGAATGAATGTCATGCTGAGTCAAAAAAAAAAAAAAAAAAAAAAAGCTTGTTTTTCTTTGGAGAAGACCCAGATCAACACAAAGGACTGTGGAGGTCAAATTAAGGAAGGGTTAGGTTTATTTATTTTTTTCCCCCAAGATTTATGTATTTATTTATTTGAAAGGCAGAGTTACAGAGAGGCAGAGGCAGAGAGAGAGAGAGAGAGTCTTCCATCTGATGGGTCACTCCCCAGATGGCTGTAATGGCCAGAGCAGCGCCCATCTGAAGCCAGGAGCCAGGAGCTTCCTTCAGTCTTCCACGCGGGTGCAGGGGCCCAAGCACTTGGGCCATCTGCTACTGCTTTCCCAGGCCACAGCAAAGCGCTGGATCGGAAGTGGAGTAGCCAGGTCTCAAGCCAGCACCCATATGGGATGCTGGCACTGCAGGCAGAGGCTCTACCCGCCATGCCAGAGCATCAGCCCCAAGCGTTAGGGTTAATACGACTAAAGAACAAACCAGAGCTAAACCAAGCATGCGGGGAAGATCAAAGGGATGACCAAGTCCACAACACAACAGCTGACACTGCTAGAGGTGTGAGCCCCGTTCTACAAGAGGGCAAGGTAGGGCCTTAAAGCACACAGGAAGCACGGGGACCAGCAGGGTGCCCTCTTCTGGCCAAAGATCGAGCCCACTCTGCCTGCCCCAAGTCTTCCCGGCCGAAGCCGGTTGCAAGCCGAGCAACTGGGTCGCCATAGCAACGCCCGTGAGACGCCTCAGAGCGACAACTTAAGTTCACAGTGACGTAAGCATCCGGCACGCCGGACCTCACAACAGTGGATTTCCGAAACCTTCGGTGGCCTGCCGGGCTGCCCAGGCTCGCGCCGCGGGCCACGCATGCCGCCGGTGCCCAAGCACCCTGTCCGCTAGACCCCCATTCCGTCGGGGACGGTCGTGCTCAGGTGCCTCGCCCTACAGTCTCGAGTGGGAGCAGAGCCCAAAGCCAGGGCGACGACTCTCCAGTCCACGCATTTCTAAAAGCTCGCACGTCTGCTCTCACGTTTAAATCTACCACCGCACGCCCGGAAACCAGGGCCTCCGCGGGCGGCGCGCGCCCTGGCCGGAAGTGACGCGTTTCGTGCCCGCGGATTCCCGCGCTGCACTTCGCGGCAGTTCCGTGGCGGGAACCGAGGCTGCTCTGGGCACGGCGTTGGCTGTAAGTCTCCAGGGCT